TCTGTTTGGGTTTCGGTCTCTCTTCTGGAGATGCCTCTTGAGAGCAGGTACCCCCAGTTTTCTTACAGCTCATCTGAGTCCTGCCAAAAGAGACTGGCACAGACTGGCATTCTATGCCCTGATAACTCACATAACTCTCTGAAAAGAATGTTAAAACCCAGTTCACGAGTGAACCCACGAGAAGTGGAGCCAAAGGGACTTTTATATTTTCCTTTCAAATCTAATTTAGAATTTATGTTCTGGTGGGGTAGGAAGGGAATGTAGATATGAAAAGTAAGAGAAAAGGGGAAAAAAGTGGTAGAAAAAACAGGGGCATATGCAAAACAAACAAACAAACAAACAAAAACATAGACTGCCAGAGCCAAAATGACTTTAAAGAATTTACCATCTAGTTTTCCAAACATTTTGTTTTTGATAGTGGCATCTTTTAATTTTTTTCATAAGAAATAATAATATGAGCCTTGGTATATAAAATAGATGGAAACAGAAATTGAAATAGTTAATTAAAAATAGTTTAAATAGATGAAAGCTAAGGTTGAAACACTGGTCATGTATATCATGTCCATGTACTCTTAGGGTGCTGCAGAATACAATTTGAAAGTCACCAATCTTGTCTAAACTTTACTTTAAAGGGGTGATAAAACTGGCCATTGTTTTTGTTAAGCACTGGCCAGGCCATATTTCCTAAGTTTTGGCCCCCTCCCCTACCTTAGGGAGGTAAATCTCCTCTCTCTCTTTAATTTACTTTCTAAAGAAACTATATTTTCCAATCTAAAAAAATGAAAGATTGTAAAACTGAGGCCTGTAGTATAGAGATATGACATCCTCAAGGCCACAGAGTCAGTTAGTGACAGAGATAGGTTTAAAACATGTCTCCTAGCCAGGCTTGGTGAATCAGCCTGTAATCCTGAGCTTTGGGAGGCTGAGGTGAGTGGATTGCCTGAGCCCGCAGGTTCGAGACCCGCCTGGGCAACTTGGCAGACCTCATCTCTACAACAAATCAAAAAATTAGCCGGGCGTGGTAGCGCGCGCTTGTAGTTCTAGCTACTTGGAAGGCTGAGGCAGAAGGCTCTCTGGAGCCCAGCAGGTCGAGGTTGTGGTGGCCGTGGAGCGTGCCACTGCACTCCAGTCTGGGCGACAGAGTGAGACTCCAACTCAAAAAAACAAAAACAAAAACAAAACATGTCTCCTGCCAGCCAGACTAGAATTCTTTGGGTTAGAAAAAGGAGCTAAGAATGCTTTCTTCCTGAACATGGTCAAGAAGACAGCATGATGGGAAGTGCAATGCAAAAGAGGAATTCTGGGAAAAACAAAGGAGAACAGAAGAGTTGAAAGCTCCAGGATTAAGCAGAGAGAATTGAAACTACAAACCTGGAGGAGATCCAGGAAGTTTCATAGCAAGGGACAGTGTGAACTGCTAGGAGTAAATCAAGACAGGAGAAAAGGAGATTTGTAAGTAGGTTTAAAAAGAGAGATCCTTATTCTCCCTCTTATTAAAATGCCAATGGTGCAGAAAGAAAAGGTAAAATATGCTTCTCCAGGATTGATTGCAATTCTTTCATTATTTCTTCCTAAGATGTATGAGACTTTGGCATGGTTCCCCCATTGAAGATTTTAGAACAGTGTTCATAGTCTTGACATGAGAGTTAGGAAAATATGAAAGTATCTTCTTTATTAATGGTTACATTGATTGGTCAATATGATTTTGCCCAGGTTCAAAATTGTTTTCCTTCACTTTCTGCCTTAGATTGAACTTACCCCTCTTGTCACAGGCCTTTGTGAGTTATCTTAGTGAAGGAGAGAAGAGAATACATGTGGTCTGTATCAAAGAGAGTTACAGCCCCCTTCTCCAGTCTCATCTATAGCGTATCATATATTTTCACATCCATAAAGATGAAAATACTCAAGGTGGGGATGTAAAAAGGCAGAAGTACCATGTGTGAGTTTTAGGAACACATGGCAGGAGGAGAGTCTGGTTCTCACCCCTCCATACTCATTTTTCACTATTATAAAATATAATCAGAGAGAAGGATTAGAGCAAGAAAGGCATCCACAAACACCTGTAGAATCAACCGGTTGTCAGCTTTGGCCTAGTGGTTCTGTGAGTTCATGATAAAGTTTAACTCTATCAAAAGAGGAATGGGTGGTAGATAGAAGTTAGAAAAAGAAGGGTGTATTTACATTTTTTTGAAACTTTATGATAATAAATGTCACCCCTCATTATATATTCCTAAATTATTCCCAGGGTCTGCTTACCTCCAATATCAACCACAGAGTGGCCATACCAATGATTCTATAGGCATCTTGACAATATCCAATGAATGGTGTTTGCAGGATCAAACAGTAAGAGATATCTGGGAAGAAAAGTGAAAGAAAAAGGGTTTGAAATAGCCCTTCTCATTTTTCTCAGTACCATCCCTCATTTTTCCCAAAATATATCCCTTTCCTGAATCAGAACTTTGCCCTTTAGAGAGAAGCAACAATAGGAGCAAATGACCCTTGGGGTTGGTGCTCAGCAGAAGCTGAAAACATGCAGACTGAGCATGGACCTTTTAACTGCTTATCACACAGCTCAAATATTTAGCCCTAGTCAAAGTTTCTTCTGACTCCTCTTTTGGTAAGATTATTTTCCTTCATGGTACCTGGAATTAAGCAACAATCACTGACATTCTGAGCTGGAAAATATTCTCCTACCATTCAGACTCATATAAATCAGTCATTCATCAATTCTTTTCCACAAATTCATATTGGGTATAGACTATGTGACAGGAATTGTGCCATGAGATGGGAATATAACAGTGAACAAGAACTCAGTCTTGATTTTTAGGGTGTTCAAAATCCAGTGAGAGCAGCCAGAGATTTTCTACTGTGAATTAAAGTTTAAAGAAGTGAATACTTGTATTGTTTTGAGGTGCTAAAACTCTCAGTCTTACTTTGTCCTCCTCGTTCTTTTGGGAAAGCCAAAAGCACAAAGGAGTAGGCAGAAAATGTCAGACCCTGTGGCATCATTCTCTCATAACTATTGACCTCAGCCCCTGCAACCTTCACTCCATCCTGCCCTTTGCAGACACACAATGGTGAGTCTAATGGAACAAGAGACATTTAAAGATTGGGGAGAAGTGAAAAAGGAGGCAGCAGCAGCTTACCCCGTGAAGCAATGAAATCCACAGAAGGGTCAGATGATTCTGCTCTCATGGGCTAAGAAGCCTGAAAGCTTTTCAGTGTAGCTAAGTATGGGCTTATTGGGAGGTCAGGCAAGAAAAAAGGGCTGGAGTCTAGGGATAAGCTGGACATTTGATTTTGCATCTACATCAATTCTGAAAAGATAGTGAGGGGTTGTAAGAGTCCAGTAAACAGTGTAGTGGCAACTCCAAGATGGAGCAGCCCTACTATCAGGGCTTTCTTTCTGGCCTCAGAAATAAAGTAAAATAGTATAATTATGTATGTTTGAAGGTAGGATGTGGATGGACTATTCTCTTTGTTGTATTCTTGGCCTCAAAACCCCTTCTTTCTAATCCAGGATACAATATAGCACAGGAAGAGGACAGAACTTGTGAACAGAGTGAGGTCAGCAAAAAGCCAGACTCGATTTCTGAATTGGAGGGAGGGAGGCTGCCTGAGTTTGAGGACCAGGAAAAAATAAGTTAGGAGACTGAAGATGAGCCAGAGCTTAAATAGAGGATTGGCTCTGCCTTTCCCAAATACCGTACTGCTTACCGTACACGACCCAAGCTCTCTGCTTGGATTCCAAATCCGAAAAACGGATGAGGGGGCGCAGAGGAAAAACGGGGTTCGGACCATACAAATTGGCCTGAAATGAAAAGTCTGCAAAAACCACTGGGTGGCAGCGTGGTGTGCGGGCTCAGGCTCTGCAGTGCCTGCTGCTGCTGCTGCTGCCGCGGGGGCCCAGTCCGTCTGGGAACCCTGGTCTCCTCTCCTGAATGGCTACAAGTGTCGCCATGCAAAATACCTCAGCAGGGTGTATGAGGGTTGGAGGGTGTTGGTGAGTCCCAAGCCTGGGGCAGAGGTCTGGCAAACTTCCCAGGGGCTCCAGCCCGAGGCGCAATCTGGCCAACTCCAACACTAACAAAACACCCCAACCCCACCATCCCCCATCACCGAGCAAACCCCCGCCCTGTCAACCCAACTATCTCATCCTGGTTCCTCCTCCATCACTGTTTCCTCTCGAAGCTCCTTTCGGGAAAAGGAGGGGAGGAGGATTTGGGCGTTGGGGCAGTGCCTAAGCCCCTACAGGTGTTAGCTCCAGCTGCCAGCTGGGGACTTGGGGGGTGGGGGGGTGGGGCGGGTGGGGGCGGCCTGCGGCCGGGAGCCAGTGGGCACGGCTCCGAGAGGGAGGGGCCACAGCAGGAGGGGGCTGCAGGGAGGCTGTCGCGCTGTTCCGGAGGGTGCCTGCGGCGGCTGAATTCCTGTGCTGCGACTGTGCCGCGCCCAGAGCAGCAGCAACAGCGAAGATGCGAGGCCATTACCTGTTTGATCCCTGTCGGAAAGCCGGCACGGGCCAACTTTTCCCGATTATCAGACCAAGAAGTTGCAAGGACTAGTCGAAGACTCGGAGGGGCCAGGGCGAGGGCGCGCTCCCCCGCGCGCTTCCTCCTCCCTCCTCCCTCCGGCCGCCCGCGCTCCCGGCCTCTCTCCCGCCTGAGCTTACTCCCTCCGCCCGCCTCTCTTCTCTGGCCCCCTCCGCGCGGCACAGGGCGGGGGGTGCCGCGAAACTCCGACCCGAGCCACTTGGACTTGCACAGTGTCTTCGGGGCGCAGAGGCCGAGCGCACGCAGTCGCGCAGCTCTGCCTCCGCCTGCCAGTCTCGCCTGCGATCCCGGCCCGGGGCTGTGGCGTCGACTCGGACCCAAGCAGCCAGCAGCCCGCGCGGGAGCCGGACCACCGCCGGAGGAGCTCGGACGGCATGCTGAGCCCCCTCCTCGGCTGAAGCCCGAGTGCGGAGAAGCCCGGGCGAACGCA